CATGACAAAAAACCAAACAGACAGACTAACAGAAAGACAAGTAATGATCTGGCACTGAATGCTCAGGCTGAACTGAATATAAAACAGAGGAAACAGGTGAGGGGGATAAATTATAATTGAGGCTGGGAAGGAAGAGGGCAGGTGAGAGGAATTACTAATTAGGGGAGAGCAAACAGGCCAGATCATGACATATTTGGCGAATTTATGTTAGAATATTTTGCAAAAATATGTTGCAGTGAATGATGGGGTTTTGCCAACTAGACTGGCAGTCAACTTTGAAGGTTTCATTTTTGAAGAACTGCCTGTCTGGCTATATATTGTATTTTTTATGTTGGTAGACCTAGTATGTGTGAGTGAGTGTCTGGCTGGCTTCGTGCAAGTCCGTGGATTCGTCCGTGTTAATAACCAAAGCAAGTAAAACTGCAGTATTGTGCTTCACATTTCAGACGCACATGTTTGACTGTGGCTCTATGAAGCCCAGAAATTTGTTTAAGTTTGGCACGCCCTACAAAAGTTTGTAACAATTATTATGTCCAGGAAGAAGTTCATATTCTTTTTTTTCTTCTGATGAACATATGTTATAATTTTGTAGATATTTGAAAAATTTGTCTACAGAACTGAAAACCTGTCTTGTTATTGATTTAAATAAGGCAAATGTACAAGACGAGAGTTAATGCCTTTGTGTCTCCAGTTTTTAAAAGGATCATCTAAGTGAGATTGAGGAAAGGTATGATGGTAACAGATGGTAATATTTACCACTGTATCCGGCACATAAGGGTTTGTGATTTGCTGCCAAATTCTGAGGCTATTTAAAATTGTTCTGTTTGTTAAATCTAGATGATGCAAATAAGCAGATGTAGTTAGGTTTTTTTTTATTTTTTTTTAGTAACCCAGGCTGGAGTGTGCTCCAGTTCTTTACTTTGTATAATATTCTGCAGGCCATCTCCAAATTCTGAAAATTCTGAAAATGGGTCAATGTAAGAAAATAAAACATTTCTGAAAAATATGTAAGAATCTGGGCAAGGAAACCTTTTAGAGGGGTTCACATCATAAAAAGAGGAAGCGTCGTAATCTTTAATTTTTGTTAACTTTACCAGAACGTTCAAGCTAATTATGCAGCGTTTTTGGGAGGATTATTCTCTCATATTTGAGTTTGTCTGTTATTTTAAATGTAAGATTACAAATAAAGAAAGGATTCAAATCTTCAGTCCAAAATTATCTTTTTTGCAAGTTTATTGCACTCTGACTGTGACTGGCTGGATGTGCTCTCCTCATCCTCTGACATGCGAGTGCGCTCAGAGCTTGTCTACCTGGTTGTGTGTTTCCTTGCCCGGGCTGCCTTTTACAGCTGTTTTTTGTATTTCTGCTTCTGTCTCCTTAAACCTCAGTCGGCCTCGGCAGATGGCTGCTCACACTGAGCCTGGTTCTGCTGGAGGTTTCTTCCTGTTAAAAGAGAGTTTTTTCTCTCCATTGTCGCTACAAGCATGCTTAGTGTGAGGGATTGTATTTGAGTCAATGAGTTGATACAATCAACCGGATTTCAATAGATAGAAAACTTTGAATTAATTTTACTGCATGATCTGGTGAACTGTAAAGTGCCTTTAGATGACATGTGTTGTGAATTGGTGCTATAGAAATAAAATGAATTGAATCAAATTTAATTGATTTATTTCTCAATTTTTATTAATAACATGTTACTGTTTAATCAAAGAGTGTAATTTTTTTTACTCTGACTATTATCCATTATTGTAAGTAAGGAAGACACACGCTAGCCAGTTTAGAACAGGCCTGATTACCATGCAATAAGGACAGTATGATGTCTTGTTCTCTCTCTATCTAATGAAGTAAAAAAATGTTGACTGTGTGAAATCCATCGATCTCCGTTTATTTAACTAGAGTGCATAGTTGAATACTTTTTGCCCACAATTTAAAATCAGTAATCGGCACAGCAGAAATTTTCAATGGCACTGTTACCCGATTACACCTCAAGGGGGGCCCATCCGCTTTTAATTGTCTGGTCAGCTGTTGGTGTATGGTACAGGACAGACTCAATAGGAATACATGGCCATTCTCGTTCTGTGAGATTCAAATAGAGATTGCAGGACAGAGGGACTGATCTTAATAGGGAATATCCTTCAGCTATGCACCTGCACACATGAAGAAGAATTGTCTGTTGAGGAGCCAAAAAAAAAGAAAGGTTGAGGGAAGTGATATAATAAAAAACAAAACAGGGGTAATCAGTGGAAAAAA